GTGAGGCGCTGGGACAGCCCCTGTCAGCGGGGATGGCCTGAGGGGACCCCGCGTTCCCGCTGGAAAACAAAACCCAGATCGACTCCGATCTTTGTCCAGCGGAAAGCTGAGTGACTCGCACGCTTGCTTCCTCTCAGACGGGTTCTTCCCTTCCCTCCTGGCCCACAGTTTCCAGCTCAGGCCGTCATCGGTGAGCCCATTGTCGAGCATGAGCCACAGCGGCTTCTCCTGGAGCGAAGGCTTGTCCTGGAGCGAACACCGTGCTGCGGAGGCTCCGGGGGCTGGCAGCGGGGGTGGAGCTGGTCTGTCCTGTCCTGTCCTGTTCAGCAGCGTTCTCCCAGCAACCGAGGAGTCGCGATGGAAGGTGCTGCTGCCCGGTGTGCGGTGGGTGTTCCCTCTGCTTCTCGCCTCCTGGGCCATGCAGAGCCCATGCTGCGCAGAGAAGGGCGCAATGGCACGTTTTCCTATGGAAAAGGCCGCTCTGGTAGAGTTGGTGGTTTCAGGAGGATGTAAGCAGTGAGGACACCTCATCAGTTCTTTGCCTGGTTTCTTAAAACACAGACAGGCAACAATGTGCAGACTACATGGAGACTGAGAAATCACGGGAACGGATGATTTGATAGATATAAAGGATAAATATAAATACAGCTGCATGCCCGGCAGGTAAACCTGCCGAGTGCGTGGAAACTGGTGGCTGTAAATGAGGAAGTTCAATAATCAGGAGCAGTGATCCTGAGATGGAACCAGGTGTAGCATGGATGCTAACCTGCAGAGCAGAGCAGCTTGTCCTGGATGCAGCAATTCCCCAGCTGACCCTCCTTCCCCGGGTGCCTGGTCCAGCCGTGAGGTAGCACCGGTGCTATTACCACGAGAAGTTCCTTTTTTTGGTGCTATGGATTTCTTGCTAATCTTGATAGTCAGATTTTTATTTTGTTCAGATGGACGAATGTGGCTTAACATGTGTTTTGATATATCTATTCATTTTTAGTTGTAGATAGGTGTGTCCAGATCAGTCCTTGTGTCAGTGACTGGACTCATTAGATAGTTCTGACCCAAGGCCATTCGTTCCTGCTCTGGTGGTTTGTGATATCTGGAATTTATGGGTAGGAGTGGATTTACAGTAGCATAGCTGAAACCTGGTCTGTTCAAGCCTCTGCTGCTGCAAATGAATCTCTGTGTGTGTGTGTTTGTACTATCTAATACATATCGTGACACACTGATCTCAAGCAAGACATAAAGAAGGTAGCTCCTGCATAAAATCACTCTTATTTCCTTTTGTGTTGTGCTGTTCCACCGAGGGCCAGAGAGAGGCTGGTAAACTGTAGATCAAGTTCCTTTTCTTTGGAGAGAGAACTTAGAAGATTAACTGAGAAACATCTGCCTTCGTGCTGCCCCAGCCTGCATGGCAGTGACGGGTCACGCCGGTACCAGCTCTCCTTTGGGGAGCGCAGGAAAGACCCCAGCTCTGGTGCCAGCATGATGGACCCCAGCAGACACACAGAGGGGACGGACCCTGCTCCTCTTCGCCAGCGATCCGGACTAGCCGCCCCGTCTCTGCGAGATGCACGGGTATGGAATGCGTGTTGGTGAGGTGCTAAAAGAGCGGGGCTGCATAAATGGGGCTGTTCACAGGCAATGAAAAGCCATCACGCCCTTACCCACGGCTGTGTCGCAGGAGAATTCATCCCTTTCTCTGCTCACAGACCTCTCATCTGGCCCGGGGCTAGCTGTGTGGCCAGGCACAGGAAAGCAGGGGAGGGGAAGATGCTAAGGGAAACCAGGTATTGCGGCTTCCCCGGGGCGGTGTTTTCCTGTCCCAGCCCAGCTGGCAGGCTTCCCCCGGGCTCTGCGGACAGACCGGCAGTGTGCACGCCTTCCCTCCTGTCTTGTTTGACCTTTGTTCTCTTCCTGACATTTCTGTTCAGATAAGAGCTTGTGACCGATGTAGCGTGGCCGAGGTGGCATGTTAAGTGGCACATTGATACCGTTGTGAATGCAGAAAAGCAAAGTGTGCTAATGAAGAGTATTTAAGAGAAGGGGGCTGGAAAGCATGTTAGAACTGACACAAGCCTGGGTTCATGTCTGCTGTCAGTAGTCAGGATTTAGATAGTGCTCCCGCTTCTAAGAAAGACCAGATTGATTAGGTCCTAGGCTGAGTGTCCATCTGTAGGTAGATAAATGCCAGCTTAGAGTGGGAGATTCCTCTGGCTCTGCTGAGAATGGAAAGAGGTCAGATGAAGAAGCCTGAATTTTGATGTCCTCTTCTGAGTGAAGTTTTTATTCCATGACATCACTGTGATATCTGATAGCCTAGCCCTTTCCCCTTTCTTACTAGAGAAAAATATTTGAAAATAAGTTTTGATTTCCGTAGCTATCAGACATGTGTTGAAGTTACTGACATTTTCATTTAAAATAAAATTACACAGAAGTTAATTTTACTAATTGGACTTTTACAGCTTTACTGTAACTCAACTTTATATTTCTTTGCTGTTTTACTGCTCTGTAGTCATGTTTGTTACTTTCCGTTTTACCGCCCTCACTGCCCGTACACCAGCTTTCCCACAAATGCCCTTTTCTACGTGGAACATCCTCTGTTCAGGTTTTAATGATCCCATACCTTCATCCTCCTCAAGGCACACTCCAACAACGGGGCCACGAGTAACTGTCACCCAGGAGCAAACCGGCATGTGGCCCCTAAGCAATCTCTGTGCTGCTCTGATTTATGTTACTTTTAAGTAAGCAAAAATTGTGTAACTATGTGTAAGTAATGCCTCTTTTTACTACTGTTATATTTGTTGAGTCTTGTGATATTTATTTTTGTTCCTTTGCAGGAAGGGTGTTTTGTTACATATTAATCAAAATTGCTTTTTTGTAAACCACAATGCCTTTAGCAGAAAACAAAGGAACTTCAGTGCTGCTGCAGGCCATCCAAGCACCACTGAAATAATTTGAATAATTAGTGCTGCGAACTAAAATTCCACCTGAGGTGTTTTCCAAAATGGGGGGGAAAAGGAACTGTTTCCTTTAGTTACTTATTTCTCTGTGTGGGAGTATGTACTTTATAGTTTGGCATATGTTATTATGCCCTGCATTCATTTTAATCCATTTGGTGTGAGACTGGGATGCTGAATGCCTCGTATTTATCTTACTCGTCACTACAAACCTGCTTCCAGCTGGCTGGTCCATCTCCCGTGCTGGTTTCACTGGGGACGTTTGCTAAGAATGGGGTCAGAGTCTAGGTTTACCTGTGTTGTCATT